AGTCGGTTAAGCCTCCGACTTTGGCTTAGGTCATGATCTCACGGTTTGTGGGTTCGAGCCCCATGTTGGGCTCTGTGATGACAGCTCAGAGCCTGGAGCCTGCTTTGGATTCTGTGTCTCCCTCTGTCTCTCTTCCTCTGCCCTCCCCTGCTTGCACTGTCTCTCCCTCTCTCTCAAAAATAAGTAAATATTTAAAAAATCTAAAAAAAAACCCAAAAACAATTCTGTTTAATGAGTTTACCATAGCACTTACTAATATGTGAAAAAGTGGGGATTGTGGTAAAGGTAATGGTTTATAGAAAAATCTGCAGAAGTGTTCTATTTCCATTAGAGAAATGTAAATAATCATACCTGTGGAAGAAACTGAAAAAACTGGTAGAGAACTTCTTAAAATGGTGCCTGGGTATATATCAAATGTCTAGAAGCATGGGGAAGTGTCTCTTCTAATACTCCATGCCCTTGCCTCTTGCAGAGGAAGCCTCTATGTTCAGAATATAGTACACACAATCAAGAACAATCATCTAAGTTTAGGGTTTTTTTTTTTTTTTTTTAATTTTTTTTCAACGTTTATTTATTTTTGGGACAGAGAGAGACAGAGCATGAACGGGGGAGGGGCAGAGAGAGAGGGAGACACAGAATCGGAAACAGGCTCCAGGCTCCGAGCCATCAGCCCAGAGCCCGACGCGGGGCTCGAACTCCCGGACCGCGAGATCGTGACCTGGCTGAAGTCGGACGCTTAACCGACTGCGCCACCCAGGCGCCCCTCAAATATCCTATTCTTAAATGGATATAGTAATTTGGTATTTACTTTGAATTTTGTTTATTTAATTCCTTTTCTTATTTTCCTTATATTTATTTTGTTCTTTTTCTAGGAATTACTATTTAGTTCATTTGTTGTCATTTCCCTTTGAATCATCATTGTCATCACTTAAGTATTCAAAACCTTAAGCTCTTTTTGAAAGCTTTAATATTTAGTGTTGTGGTTATCACTATTTTCTAAGTAGTTTGTAAGTTTAGTTTTGATTTTGATTTGTAATTCAAGTGTCATCCAGAAGAATACCTTTTAGTTTAAAGTAGTTTTGTTATTGTAGTTATTTTTATTTTCAGTGCCTAGTTTAATTCATAACAGAGAATGTGACCAGTATCATATATAGCTATTATTTATATTTTTAAAATCTTTATGGAAAATTTAAATAAACACAGAAGTAGAAAAAATAGTAAAAGAAGTACACGTCTCCAATTCTCATCTTCAAAAATTAATATTTTGTCAATCTGATTGTATCAATATTACTATACATTCTTTTCCCCAGTCTGCCTAGACTGTTTTAAGATTTTTTTACAGATATCATCTCATTTCACTTTAAATTAAAAACCCAATGACACTATGGCTATTACACCTAACGAAATTAACAAGAATTTCTCAATATCAATTAATATCTAGTCTATTTCATGAAGCATTATGTTAATAATACTAGCCTCAGAAAATGAAAAGGAGCATGGAATCAATTTAAAAATGTACTTAGCACTGACCTATTTGTTGTTGCTGTTAACAAAAAAATGTGTATGTATATATTTCCTTTTAACAGTTCAAAATGCAGTGAAATTAAGAAATTCATGCAATGGATATTTGGCTAAAGACTTTCATGAGAATTGCTTAAAACTTCAAAGTCAAGCTAAATTAAGAAGACAGGTTTAAAAAAAGTGGTTTTACATTAAATTATTTGTGACATTCAAAATAAAGAGATGGGACTTCCAGGGAAGATACCAGAGTAGCAGGACCCTAAACTCACCTTGTCCCTCAAATACAACTAGGTAACACTTGCATCACTGCAAACAACCCAGATAATGACCCAAAGACTGGCCAAACAAATTCTACAACTGAATATAGAAAAGAGGCCACATCAAAGAGGGCCAGAAGGGTGAGGATTCAGTGGGAACTAAACCCCATAGATTTGACCACTGGAAGAAGGGAGCCACAGACCCAGAGAGGGGTGAGAAACAGACTATCACACAGGGGGAGCCTGCAGGGGGAAGAGGAATCCCCACAGCATTTGCCTTTGAAAACCAGAGGGGCTAAATTTCCTGAGTGCTTACAACCAGAGGGACTTAAAGCCTGAAACTTTAAAACTCAGCAGCCTTGGCTCTGGGAGAGCTCAGAGGGTGATAGGAAGCTGAGCCCTTACGCTTAAAGAGATAGCACAGCAAACATCCTTCAGAGATACAGCTTGTAAACAGTTTGAAAGTCACCTGGAGCTTATGGGAGGGAGAGTTGGTTACCAACTCAGGAGTTTGGGGAGGAACTTCTCCAGGAACAAAGGAGCTGGCAGGCTCCATTTCCCTCCCCTGCCCCTCATCATAAACATACAACTACCTGTGGGAACCAGCACAACACTGGCATTCACTACCTACCTTGCTTACACCACACTCCGCCCCCTCCAGTCAGGCCTGCCTCAGTCCTTGTGTTGCAGATCCTCTCCCCCAGAAGACCCCTGCAAACCTTGCCAGCAGTGCCTCTCCTGACCTCTCACGGAGGACGTGTGCACCTTGTTAAAACTGCATCCCCTGACTGCTCATCCTTTGTGG